GGGTCTTAATATCGGCGCTGGTTCCAAGACTTTCCCTGGCTAACACTTTGACCGTCACTTTGCCATCAGCCGTGGGCACAACCGGTATCCTTTCTGGGGGCGTGTCTTGATAACGAGGTGGGATCATCTTTTCCTCTGCTCGGAGGTTAACCCATAATTGAAAACCTTCAATTTTTCCGCCATTTTTAATAATGTCGTCGCTTGGCATTTTGGAGTGTACGACACCAGATCCAGCAGTCATCCATTGTACCCATCCTTCTGATAGAGTGCCAGAGTTACCAGCACTGTCCTTATGTTGCATAGAACCAGATACAATGTAGCTCACAGTCTCAAAGCCGCGGTGAGGATGATCAGGGGCGCCCACGGCTTCTCCCGGTCCGTATTCGACTGGGCCAAAGTGATCCAGGAGCAGGAATGGGTCTAGTTCTGATACTTCCCCACCAATGGGTCGTTTCCGAGGTCGTTTCACTATGAAGCCGCCTTCAGTTCTCGCTGTTGGTGAGCCGTTACTATTCTCGTTATGGGTCTGGACATTTCTTTAGCGTTGGCTGTAGTCATAATGAGATAAAGATGAATGAAGGAGCTTATATAGAGAGGTAGAGAGGAGAAGATGAAGTAATGGTCTCTTTTCAGCATTTACAGTACAAGCAAAACACGAAGAGTGTATCCAGCACGTCAGCAAAAAGCAAAGGCGTGGCTGAATTAATTATGACAGTTATTGGCATTTTTGACCATACATTTACATGTAAGCATTTTCTTCAGTTTCTTTTAGGTGAGTGGGCATTCTTCTCCCTTGCCTTTGGTTTTTTTGACTAGTGTTACTTGAATTTAGAGCCACATACAAAATTACGAATAGATCTAATGCTGTATGATGTCAATTCAGTTTGTCTCCTCTGGACAAAATCCTGAAAGAAACCTTATCCAATTCAAAAATAATTATGAAAAAAAATAAAAACAATGGGTGATTATAATACATCTAATAAAACAAATGAAATAACATTAAAATAATGATAATAATAATAATAAAGATTATTAGGTCGGTAATATTGAAGTCCTATTATTATTATTATTATTATTACCACCTGCTGTTCCACCGGTTATAGTGATTGCTCTCATGTCTGATCTCCAGGACAACCATTCACTGATAACAGTCATTATGATGAGAGAGACTATGTTTGTCAGCCGGCCACCAGGAGAGGGAGAGGGGGAAACCGCCAAAACAGCAGCAGAAAATGAAATGAATGAAGTAGACAGTTGCTGAGAAATCAAGACACTAATGGACAGGAGAAAGGGAAAGGGAAAGAGTGATTTCTGAGCTAGTCTATACATGTACATGTACATGCATGTATTATGGGGAGGTGCTACTATTCAAAAATGGTCATAACTTTAAAAATTAAAGTTAGAATCACCTCAAACTTTCTATACAGCATAAGGACATCAATGTGTATCAGAAAATGTAATAAAAATTTGGGGTGATTTTGGAGCCATTTTTTAGAAAAAACCATGGGCTATAGCCTTGGGTATTTTTCAAAAATTGGCTAGTTTTTAAACTGGTTACATAAACTTGAAAAATTGAAGTCGGAAATGATCACTTCAAACTTTCTATACTAAGGACATCAATATGTGTTAGAAAATGTAATAGAAATTAATATACAAACTCACTTGCTTTGCTCTTCATACAAGCAACCATAAAAACAAGATGATAAAATAAATCTGTAAAATGAAAATGCACTTTATCAAAACTAAAGCCTACTAATAGAAGTTGTATGAGCTCTAACTACTAATCAGTTACATTTCTTAGTACTGTTAGCCGATGAAGCTCCTCACTACACACACATTTACAGTTATCATAGTATTTCAGATTCACTGATTCTTGAATCACAGAATCAGTGATCACTGATCTTGATTAACATGTGTTATTAAGTTTGATTAGTACCATTATTGTTCAACAGTCATTAGCAATGGAAACTTACTCATAATGACTGTTAATAGAGTAATAATGAAACTAGTCCAGTCCTTACCTATAAGCAAAGTTGGGTGAGATGGTACTGAGGCCAATAACAATAATGGTAATAACTAATGGGAAGAGCAAATAATACCTAAAGGTATATGTACTCTTACTAATGGTAATAATAACAGTAACAAAAATAATAATTTAATCCTAATCGTTACCACGCACAAATTATAGTACTAACTACATAAGTGCAACATCGTTTTCTAATAAATTCAAAGTCAATGTTGAAGGAAAAGTTCTTATACTAGCATCTTCTGATCCATATCCACTAGAACATAAACTAGCAGCATCTTCCTTTAAGTAAGAATAAATCATTTCCTTTATTTCTTTTGTCTTGGCTACTGATAGTGCAGTGTGGCTGGTACAAGCTTTTATAGCTGGATCAGCTTTCCATTTTAGCAATAACGTAACTACTTCATAATGTCCATTAGCACTAGCAAGCATTAAAGCAGTAACACCATCTTTGGT